GTGTGGTGTACTGCAGTTACTTAATTTAAATTTAAATAAGGAGAATATTTTCCCTTACAACAAAAAAAAAAATTTCTGGATTTCTAATAAATGTAATGGTAGTTACATAAGGATTTATAGGAAAATAATTTTTCTTTAATGAAATATTTTGAATTATTTTTGATTATTGAACTCAAAAATTTCAATCATTTCATAGTTTAATATTCAATTATATTTGATTGAATAAAGAACACAACAATATGAAAATTTTTTTGCTCCTTCTTCATATAATAAATTCAATATAATTATAACAATAATTTGATATCCTGCGGAAAACTTTGTATAATGAAGAAATTGAAAAATTTTGAATGAAAAGAATATTGAATTGATTTTAAAATAAAAGAATATTGAATTGTATGTTTTACGCTTTCCTTATAATAACGAACCATGAGCTTCTTTAAGATTTAAAGGAAAGTTTAATAATAATATCAGTGCAAGAACAATATTAAAAAATTAAATTTATCATTCAATTAATTACTGTATATTAAGCAATGTACGACTAATTGTTATCCCGAGGAAGGAACTCAATTAAATGAATTGTAGATACTGGAACTCTAGATTTCTTTTTTCACTTCTAGCAGGAGCGCAGGGATAGAACATGATATCATAAATAGTCATGCCCCAGTTTTATTGCGTCATAGAGTTTTAACTAGGTAGTTGACTAGATTCTAAAGTACTGAAATATATTAGGTATGGTTCATGATTGTTTCAATATGTTGAAAAGAAATATGTTGAAAGCTTGACTAAAAAATTAAGAATAATTATGGTTCTTAGAAATTTTAGTAACTTTAATATATTTTATAGACTGCAATAGCAGTATGAACATTTGTTACTTAAACTACTTAAGATTTTAAATTTTCATTGAAATGAATAGATAGAATGTCACGATATTTTTTTTTTCATCATTGATTTTTATTATTCTTGTTATGTTTTTTTTGTAAATAAAATTTATCTATAAATGCTTAATGATAATAGTAATCCATAATTAGGTTCTTAAATGTAATTGTATAATTATAATCATAAATAATTAATTTGAAAATCTATTATATCCGAAATTAATTATTATATAAAAAATATTTAATTTGCTGGTAGGGTGTGGCAGTTAATATTATTGAATATTATTAGTGAAGTAAAGGAGGAGTACTAAAGTGGGTATTTTATTTTAATTTTGAAATTTTACAAAGAATTGATAAGCTATATGCGCAAATATAATTTTGAAAGTAAAAAAATCAGCCGTTTTAGTAAGAGTCTGGAATTCGATTAACCCAAAAATTAAAGTTAAAATCGAAATTTTGTTAAGAAAAGAAGCCAAGATATCATTTTGAAATTATAAATTTGGAGATTTGCAAAGTTCTGGATAATGGGATCGATTATATTGTAAAGTAGCTATTCAAGTTATTATATTGAGGATGCCAAATCGAAAAAAATGCAATTAATGTAGACAAGATAAACAGATAGGTATTCCAAAAAATGTCATGGCTACATTGTATACAGTAAGACCAGAAAAAGCTGATATTTGAGTTGTAAATTTTTCTTAATTATTTGTTCTTATTTACTACTTTTGCAACGAAATTGAACAAAAAGGTTTATTAGCTTCACTCCACCTATGTCCATCAGTCCTAGAAGCTTTTTTTAAAACATTTACATAATTAAAGATCTGATCTAAAGATTACAAATCTGGAATTTTGTATAAAAATATATATGTCTTTGCGTGGAAGTTATAATTTATCTAGATTCTAAAACAAATTTTCAATCTACTTCTCCCCGTCTAGAAGTAATGACCATTTAAAGCTCTAAGAATACCATTTTTGATTATTTGTTGTACGGGAACCAGAAATGGATTTCAAATTGAGCAATATATGCTGTTCAAAGTTAGCAAAATTGTAACTCTCAGCTTGTTATTTTTCTGAGACTAGAAGCTCTTCTAAATTTGGATAATAAAAAGAAATTAATGATTTTTCATCAAAATTTTCATCACCATAATTCACGAAATTAAACCTCGTATTTAATTATTAAGTTAACGTTTCTTTCTCATTTTTTTTATTTTTCTCCTAAAAGTATGCAATTTTTTTCATAATTCAGTTTTTGTAAATTAATGTAATAAATGAATCTCATCAAGTGCAATATTGAACTGGTTACCCTGTATAGTAAAATTTATGTACGACTATAATATAGAAGACAATTTAAAACAATATGTTTGAAGTTCTGTGCTCTTGTGTAAATAATTAATGTTATCCCCGGAAAATTTAATATTTTATAATATCAAAATTCCATTACAATAAATTTTATTATAAAGCTAACTATTAATTAATAACAATAAGTTCATAAATTGATTTTAAATATCTAGAATAGAATAATAGGGAATATATGTATTTGACAAATAATTTAAGTTAAAGTAGAATGGGTGTTGGTAGATAATTGCTATTGTTAAAACTATAATTTTGCAAAAAATCATTATTGTACACCACTAAATAATTGTTTCTTTTATTATGCTCTTTTTGTTCTTTTATTATTATTATATAGATTCAGAAAATATTTTATTTTATTAATTCGTCACTAATATTTGTTATAGCTATTAAGGGTTTGAAATATGCTTGTTCATGAAGCTTTCATCTCTTATTGTGCACATTCATCATGAATTTTTTAATGTTATAGTAATTGGATACATGCATTTGAGAAATAAAAAAGAAAATTCTATACTTAATAATTCTATACTTGTCTAGGCTAGTATACTCTACGGAGTTCTTCAAAAAAATTTTGCTTTGATTTGATTTTAATATTTGAGGAAAAAATGTAAAAAAATTTAAAGATCATACACATTTTTCGGATCTTATACAACATTACTTTTTGATGATATTTCGTGCGCTCCTGGTGGCACATCATATGGAATACTTACTACAAAATCTTGATTTATTAATTGAAAAAATAATTTATTGAAAGGTTTAAATAAAAGTTTAAAGGCTTTACTAAATTCATTTTTGAAATCGATCTTATCAAAGAGCAAATTGCCAGACGAATAAATTGAGAATGAAGAAATCTTTATTAAAGGTTAAAATTATTCATAGGTGAGGAAAATCATATTAATTAAGCTGTATTAATACTACCTATTATGACTGTAACAGCTAACATATTTTATGCATCGAAAACCGCGAAATATTGGCACTGTTGAAATTCTTTTAAATTATAAAACTTTCTAATTAAAAGTTACCATTTATAATTAAAGAGAATCGAAAATAAAATTATGTATGACGAAATATGGTGACTGTTGGAATGAAGTAACCTCCAGAATAGAACTTCTAGTGGCTTAGAAGACTGTCTTTACCTATGCACAGAGGCATGGAAAACGCTTATAGTAAATAAATTAAAAATAATTGTACATTTTGTACATGCACAGAAATAAATTAATAAATATATAAACAAAGGTTAAATAAGAAACCCTATACGTAGGTACTATTGCCCTGCACTGCACAATATAATAGGCATATTAGTTTATTTTTTATTAATGTTACTGTTACTTTCTTTCTTCTATTATCTTGACAGTACCATCATTATTAATTTTGTGACCTTCTTTTTCAAAAATTTTTTTCTTGTTGCATTTTATTTAACAATTGAAGTTTAAATTTTTGCAATTGTTAAATTTTGCAGATTCGAAGTGCGGCTTCGATTTATTAAAACGGTATATTTTTCGCCGTTTTAAGAGTAATGAAATCAAAACAAAAAATTTGTACCAAATTGCATAGATATAGATAAGTGTTATACTCTTTATAAAATAGATATATTATATATATAATGTTATACTCATATTATTATACATATATATACTTATTCACATTCATTATATCAGTTTTTAAATTATGACTAATGTGTGAATTTAGACAATAATTTACTTAAAAAAAAAATTTTATTGTTATGTTTTGTTATTCGAATCTATCATATGTGAACATTCTTAATGACATTTGTAATATATTGTGGTATATTGAGTTCTCATATAATTATACTTGTATACTAAAACATTTAAAAAAATTATGTCATTATTTTAACAAGCATATAGCATTGGCAAATCTATTAGAAGGGTTTTTACTTTACGTTTTTGTTTTGGTAAAGGAAGGGTATAAATTTTTTATAAATTTTTGCAAAATATCACACAATTTTGTATATGTATATATAGTATATTTACATACATATATGCGTGTAATATATGTGTACATAACAAATTATTTACAAATTTTTTTGACATAATCATTGAATTTTCAATTCTTTGTTTTTTTTTTGTATATACGCTCCAAAAATGTGTAAATATTACAATTGTATTTATTTCATATTGTTTATTTACTTATAATATGTGAAGTTTATTTACTTATATATGTGAATAGTATTATATACTTACATTCCAGTGCCATATATACAACATTTTTTTTTAATTGTGACATTATGCCATTTCATATGTGCCTACTCTGACACACATAGTGCTATTTACTTGCTTTGCTATCAGTTTTTTATAATTTTGTTTTTTAAGTACAATTCATTGTTATTCAAGTTTTTTACATTTATGATTTTTGTATATTTTTGTATTTTCTTTAAGATTTTCTTATTATTTTTTACCTACTGTTTTTACTATTACTATATTGCTACCACGTTTTTTTAGGGTGGTAAGGTAAGTATAACAATTTAGTAACATAAAAATTAAATAAACAAAATATGTCTCTAATGTTTAGTACCTATATGTATACCTATGGTATAGCAATAACAAAATCCATATAATAGTTATGCTACCCGTTTTATTTTTGCTTTTTGTTATATTTTTCTTATTAACTATAATACAACTATATTCTTTTTAAGGTTAATATTAATTTGCTGCAAAAAAAAAATAATAATAATAATAAGAAGCAACATAGAAAAATTCAAAATGTATAAAAACGTGTAAATCACAACCGATTAACATTAGTTATCGAATAGTCTTAAAGCATCTAAGAATTAAAAAAAGAAAAACGCTTAGAACTTTTAATAAAAAAGATTTATAGAAAAAAAAAATTAAAATACAAAAATAAAAATTTCATTAAGACTAAAGAATAAAAAGTGAATAAAGAATAAGAAAAATGAAGTGTCTTGTAAGAATTTTTAAAATTTATTATAACAAAATTATTAATATTAAAATATTTGTATAAAAGTTAAAGGAATAAAACAAATTAACACTGTTATAAAAATATCATACACGATTCAATTCTAATTTTCAAATTTCAAAAGGATTCTAAGATTGTCAAAGGATTCTTGACAATACTATAAGTCGTATAACAGTTATTTATAAAATTTTTGATATATTTTTTTAATTTAAATTTTGTGAGGAAACATTAGAATTTTTATTTATTAAAAAATAATTGAAAATTTTTTTAGCAATATAACACTTGTTATTTTGGTATTTTTATTAAAATATAATAGTATATATGACAGTATACTGATAATATAATAATACTAATATGTACATAAAAATATTATAAAATCTTGTCTCAACATAATTAGGTTCCTCTTAAACAAAAATTATTCAAAAATCTAAGACTCTAATATTATAAAATTAAATTTCAGTGGTATAAATTCTGAATTGAAAAATTTGAATTTAATAAAATTGTAATTAAATTTCATGAAAGTGAAGACAAAACAAAATTTGTTTTTTAAAAATAATTCTTAAGTGCTTTATACGGGCTCTATAACTTTCATGAGTATGAAATAAATGAAATTTAAAATTTGAATTAGAAAAGAAAGTGAAATTAATATTTTATTGACTTTTTATAATAATGCTATAAATTAAGAACTTTAAATTCTAATTATATTCTAATATAGTAATAAGTGTAATATACCTAAAAGAATATTCGTGTAGAACAGCTCAAAACGAAATTTCCTTTTCATTTTTTCAAATTAATTGCCCGCATACATATTTAATTTTGTACCTATAGTACACCTTTTTATATACACTATAAACTTTATTAATTTTAATATGATAAATTAATATTATAAAATAATTGAAACTTACGATTGTGTGATATTATCACATAAAAATTAAAAAAAAACTCCGCCAGAAATAGTCAATTGCCCAAAGGACCCAATGACTTTTGAAAACATTGATATAGGATAACATTTAAAACTTTATTGTCAATCTTAAGTTGAAGTTATTTTAACTTTGAATTAAAGCGATTGCTTTTTTTGGGATTTAAATATTAAGATTATTCAAAATTATTTTGATATTTCTGATTATTATTAATATATTAGTTATATAATTGAACCATGAACTCCAAATGAGCGATGAGTCAGATTGCAAAAGTTATATAAAATGCCTTATAAATTCTTTTACAATATTTAAAACTTCATGCTATATGCAAATATGATATGTTTACAAATGAGTATTTTGCAGTCAATAAGTTTTTGATATGTAATAGCAATGGAAATTTTTGTAAAATATTGGCTCTTTATTTGTCTATCATACAAAATTTTTGTTCAAACCATTTGTTAATTAAAATGATGAGTAAAAGATAAATTAATAATATCAAATTAAATTTTTTGTTCTATTATAAAAAATTTATTTATATAGATTCTAATAAATTCTATTAGTTCTTGATTCTAATAAATTCTATTGCCAATTTTTTAAAGTTTTCGAAAATTATTAAAAATATTTAGCACCGTACCGCAACAATTCAAAATTTTTAATTGAAAGTGCAAAATATTTCTCGATATTTTGCCTTAAATCGCTTGTATTCAAAATTTTCTGAGTTCAGTTTTCGGAATTTTTTTTAGAATGTGTTTCATATTTAAATTCATACCATTATATTTACAGGTAGTACAGGAAGTTAAATAGTACAGGAATTTTTCAAACTAGTTACAGCAAAATTTCGATTTATACCAATTTTATGAAAAGAAATTAAGATTTAAACTGCAAAAATTCAAAATTTTACGGTCTTACATTTTTCTATATAAAAATAGCGTATTTTTAAATTAAATTTACGCAAAATTATAAATTTAGAGATGTTGCGAAATTATTCTGAAGGTGCGATTTGTACTTTATATAGCAGTTAATTTATTAAAATAAAAAAATTCTCTCCACTGTACTATAGTTCTACATGTTCCCTAATATGCAACATCATAAAATTAATTTTAATTATTTATTTTAATTTTTTCATCAAATAATTTTAAATTTACTATTAAAATTTTTGGAGCATATTATTGTTAATCTATGCATATAAATGCATATATATAATGTATACATAATTATTTACTTATCATTATGTAATACTTATGTGTATTATTTTTGTATATTTAAAACAAATAATCAACATTATTATTTATAATTATTATTATCTAATTAAAAACGTTAAATACAGTAGTTAAATCTGCAACTTAATTATTATTTGTATTAATTTTGTAATAATTATAATGAATTTAATAATAATAATAATAATAATAATAATAATAATTAAGTCTATGTTTATTTAAGAATAAATTAGTAAATTTTTAATTCAAAATTTTAGTAAAATTATTATAAAAGATTATTATGCAAATATTTTTTTAGAAATGATTAAAATCATTGCCATACCCTATGGAAAATTTGATTATAATTTCAATAAAATTCATTTTCTATAATGTTATGGTTATGCTTTAACAATGATATTCTTATAAATGAAGTTAATAAGAGCATTAGTATATTATTGCTTTTTGAAAATCTTTATTTCAAATTCTTCCAAATGTTTAGTTTGATGCATTTGTGTATCATACAAAATTATTGAACCTTAAAAGTGAATAAGTGTTATATCAATAATTGCTTAATTGTAAATTTCTGCATGCAGCTGAAAATTCAAAATCTCTAGAAAATATTAAAATTCAGAAGGAAAATACTAAATTTGAGATTTAGGACAGCATATTACGTATATGTATGAAATAAAAGAAATTCATCAATATGTCAAGTTTCATACAATTTTCTCTATAAGGATTTTGAAAATCTGTATAAAAACAATTAAAAGCAATTCAGTCCACCTTAGCAGACTGGTTAATAGCATAGTGTGGAGTCAATATAATTCGGCACTTTCTCATCAAACTTCATGCATTTACTTGAATTAGTTTTTAAAATATACACTTAAAACTAGCTTCAAGACTTGTATGGAACTTGTTCGAAACCATTCGTTTAAAGCTTCTAAGTAATATTTGAGCCATAATTGAGCACATGAACATGGGTTGAAATGACTGCCAAATTTCATATTCTAGTTTTATCAGCTTTCGAAATATTTAAAATAATCTTATTGCGAGTTATACGGTTGTTACTCGAATCAGTTGTTTCAATTAAAATAGCATCAATCTTTGACAGAAAAGAAATCATTTTATAATTTTTGAAAGTTTCGGGGGTGTTTGAGTTACCACGTCTTGAATTTAACAGAATTTCAATTTTCCGCAATTTTCTTCTCACTTATTAGATTAATTAAACTTCTGACATTATACAAAAAGAATATATGTACATAGTATATGCACATTGTTATTAATTATTTTTAAGTCAAAATCCCTATTTAATGAATTGTTATCCTTTTCATGAATTTTTTCTACATGATGTGAGTTTAGAAATTTTAATTAAACATTCTTATGTAATCGTGTATGTATCTATATAGAACCTATATAATACAATAGTATAATAGTATATATTTTAAGTAATATATTAAAATTTATTTACTATAACAATATGTTGACTAAATATTTAGTTTATTTACTTAATAAATATTCATAATATATCTACATACAAACCTATGTATGTTATACATAAGATATGCACAATCATATTTACAATATTTTCATTTTTAGGTAATTTATATTTTATGTATAATAATTGCGTTTGTAACTGCTGAAACGGAAAAACGTTCATTAAATAATAATATTGATCAATCACCAGCATCATCAGTACAAGTACCATTATCACCATCGTCATCATCATCATCATTTAATGATAAAAAACAAGATAAACGTTATATTCATAGTTATTATAGTGGAGTTGGTACAGGATATGGTAATGATGCACTCTATAATAATAATTTAGGATATAATAGATATTATGGTGGATATGGAGGATATGGTGGTGGTTATGGTGGATATGGTGGATATGGTGGTTATGGAGGTTATGGTGGATATCCATCAGCAATAAGTTATTCAAATTATAATCTTGGTACTGGTCTTGGTTATGATGGAATTTATGGAGGTTATGGTGGATATGGTGGCGGTTATGGTGGAGGATATGGTGGCTATGGAGGAAGATATGGTGGTTTAGGTTATTATAATCCATATAGAGTTGCAGGTTTAGGTATATACGTTTATATATTTTGTATATGTATTAAATAAATATTATATATTTTAATTCAAATTATATAAAAAATTCATATATTATTGAAATATAATTTGAATAGAATATAAATGTAAAATTATGCATATTAAAATAGTATAAATGTTTAATAACTATGACCTTATGTTAAATTTTTGTATAATGGTGAAAATTTTAATTTTCTTCTTTCTTTGTTTTTTTTTTTTGAATTTTATAATTTTAGGATATTCTGGATATAGCAATTATAATGGTTATCCATATTATAGTACATATTCAGGTATAGGAAATAATTATAGCCCATATTGGAGAGGTGGAGGTTATGGTAGCTATGGTGGACTATATTATTAGTACAAAAATTAATACATACAAACATACATGGAAGCTCAATTTAATAATATTTTTAATATAATTTAATTTTTAATTTTTCATAAACATTTTATACAATCCCAAAGAGTCATCAAAATTTAATAGAATTGTGTATAGAGAAAATGCAGTAAAATTAATATTAGTTATAAAAATATAAAAAATACAAAAAAAAAAAAAAGTGCCAATATTTTTGCATAAAATTTCGAATTTTTACACTAAATTTGTAAATGTTATTTTGGTGACAACAAAAAATATTCAATAATGTTTTCATATTTTTTTTTTAATTTTTGTAAATTTAATAATTTTGTAAGGAAATAAAATATATTTTTAATTTACTAATAAAATACATTGTCGATTTTTATTCCATGATCTGAATAGGTCCGAATTTTATTCAAAGATATGATAAGAAGAGCGCTTAGTTTGTCACAGTTCTGTTCTCTAATTGAATTATATATAAACTTAGAGTGATTGGCTGCTAAAGTACCTTTCACTCTTCTAATTTAATACGTAAGCATATAATTTGGGTATAATTCGTTAATATTTAATTATTGATGAATTTCAATATATTAAACGGCTTTATACTTAACTTATATGAACTTATGAGTTGTTTGTACAGGTTTATTTAGAATTACAGGAAGAATTTTAAACGTATGTATAATATAAACGGTGTTAAATATCGAATTTAACCACGATTTATATTATTATAGCTCACTTTAATTTAATTGTAATTAAAATTAATTGCGTCATTATTTGTAAATTAAACATGGTCTCTTATAGGAGAAGATTTTACAAAGATTTTCCTTTCATTTAAACCTAATTACACGGTTATTACTATAGGTCCACATTAAAAGAAATCAGATGTATTTTTGAAATTGGTTCAAATTTTTGAAATTGGTGTTAAACTCTATTCTATCGCATTTCTATCGTAACTGTCATTTTTATCAAACAGAGTTAATGCAATCTCAAAAGAAGATTTGTTTACCCAAATTTGGTCTGTTATTTCTGTTTTAATTCACGTGCCATTATTTTGTGACGAGCTTTTGACATTTAATTATGTCTTACAATTATTTTTTAATAGTTAATCCTTCAATAACTTGGTATTAATATACTTTGCATTTCTAAGTCATTTTAGTTAATATAGATCTATAAAATCTAGATTGAGAGTATAAATAACTTTTTGCGCCTTAAATTGGAAGACAATACTTAATTCCAATTCTTAGATTCTCTTCGAATGTTTTACTGTTTATACCCGTACGAACGTATGTTCGAAGGGTATACTAAATTTGCCTTACCGTTTGTAACGCTAAGAAATAACGGTGTTAGATATAGACTCAAGTGTATGTTTTTGATCAGCGTCAAATTCTGAGTTGATTTAGCTTTGTCTGTCCGTCCGTCCGTCCGTCCGTCCGTCCGTCCGTCCGAACGATAACTCAAAAACTAATTGAGCTAAGTTCACCAAATTTTCACAAATGATTTATTGTAGTAAGTGCCAGAACCCTATTTAAATTGGGCATGATCGGGGTACCTGTTCGGGTAGCTGCCATACAACTTCAAAATTTATTTGGCTATATCTCAGAAACTATAAAAGCTGTGGTATTGAAATTTCACACAAACGAATATATTAGTAGGGCCAATATACCCCATAAAAGTCGTTGAAATTACTTGGCTCCTTCTGGTACCTGCCATACAACTTCAAAAGTTATTTGGCTATATCTCAGAAACTATAAAAGCTGTGATATTGAGATTTCACACAAGTGAATATATTAGTAGGGCCGATGTGTCTGGTAAAAGTCGTTGAAATTGCTTGGCTCCTTCTGGTACCTGCCATACAACTTTAAAAGTTATTTGACTATATTTCAGAAACTATTAAAGCTATGGTATTAAAATTTCACACAAGTGAATATATTAGTAGGGCCGATGTGTCTCGTAAAAGTCGTTGAAATTACTTGGCTCCTTCTGGTACCTGCCATACAACTTCAAAAGTTATTTGACTATATCTCAGAAACTATAAAAGCTGTGATATTGAGATTTGACACAAGTGAGTATATTAGTAGGGCCGATGTGCTTGATAAAATTCGCTAAAATTCTTGGCTCTTTCTGGTAGCTGCCATACAACATCAATAGTAGTTTGGCACAACCAGTATTTTGAATAACACATAGTACTGAAATTTTGCATAAATTAATATGGTAATATGGCAACTTAAAGTCATAGTCTGCCCCATAGTTAGTTATGCCCCATTAATTATTCGCACATAGGATAACAAATTCGTACGGGTATCACAGAGTTGACAAGGTCAACTCTATTTTTTTTCTCGTTTATAATTGAAATTATGCTGAAAGAAAAAATCGTGTCTATTATTTTCATAGGTCTATTATTTTCATTATGTTCTGGTTGAGATTTGAAAATTTTATTAGTTCATAAACAATTTTTTCAATCTAATCCTACATGCATATATCTAATCCTACGTGCGCAAGTACATAAGGTGTTTCATGAAATATGCATTTTTTTCACGTTTTTTTTACTTGCAAAACTATGACAGATAGGGAAAAAGGTTATATGGGTTAATTTTTAGATCTCAACGTACCACATCGAAAAAAAAACAAAAAAAATAATAAAAATTTTTAAAGAACTTCGAGCTTTGTACAAAAATTTGAAAAAAAAAAAAACAACAATTCTGACTTTGCTGTATCTCGAAAACTATGACTCAAATCAAACTAATTGTTAGACTATAAAAATAAAGAACAATCAATCGTCTGTAAAACAAGCTTGTAATGATAAATATATGTTGTACGGTTCCGAAGTTATAAGTATGTATTTATATGCAGGAAAAGTCCAGTACCTTTTTTTGCCAACAGGCTGTAGTTCGAAAATGAGTATATCTGCACCACTCCCCTTCCCCCCTCCCCCCAATTGTTTTCTGGAAATTGATCAAAGAATCATCCCTGAAATAATTTGTCACCTTATGTGAATCACCCTGTATATATGCTGTTAAATATTACCCTATTTACTTTTATTAAAATAAATAATTAGAATTAATACGAAATTCTAATAATGCTATTTAAAGATATTTATGCTATATTTATTTAATGTCATAGTAAATATTTGGCTGATTATTGTCTAATATTCCAACATGAAACTTTAATAGAAACTTTCATCTTATTTTTAATTAAAATTTGTTTCATTGATTTTTGATGTTTTTGCCTGTTTGAAAATCGTAGTGAATAAAATAATTATTGAAAATTCTTAAAGGTTTAATCGACCTTAAATACAATATTCTTAAAATAGCTTCTAATTTAATTTAGTTAGTGCTAACATTCCACTGAATTGTATTCGGCTTAAATCGAAAAAAAAAAAATTATAAAATTCTATTAAATTTAAAATTTTATTAAAATCACGTACAATTACATTAGACACACATACATTATACATAATTGCATCACAATATTTACATTTTTCTCTTAATTTGACTTAATAGTTTGCGCATAAGGAAATGAAAAGTCAATCAAAATTTTAAAATGTCAATTATATTATGTAAAATAAAAATCTATATTAATTTCCTATATTTCATAATATTTAAATTTTATCATTTGAATATTTTAAATAAAATTTTTAATTCAAATTTTTTAAATAATAAAATAAATAAAATTTGTAAATAATTTTTTATTGCAGAGAATCGTAACAATAAAATCTAATGTAAATATGAAAAAGTTCAATAGCCAGTTTAGTATTACAATGATATTTTTGGCTCAGACTAGCCAACGTTGTAATTGAATGTGTGTGACAATATTAAGGTATACTTTAAATAGATGCAATTGTACTCTGAGACCACGATTGTTTATAGGTAAGTACTTTGTAAATATAATGTGGTTTATAACAAGTCTTATAAGAAAAATTTAATTTTTTATTTTAGTTTTTTCAAAGCCACACAAACCAAGTTGATGGGAAAATAAAAACGAGAGATGACAGCTCTTGTAAATGTCTGTTGTCTTGAATTAAAGAGACTAAAAATGTTTTATGAAGATTTTTTATCTGTATGCGTTGTTTGATATTATCTAAATATTATATAAATTAAATTTATTATTTTGTCTTCTTAATATTACTTAACTTTGAACGAGAATATAGAAAAAGATTTAAGAAAAAAGGATTGACTTGAAAAATTTTTTAATCTGTCAGCTACATTCGAACTGCACTCTTTTTTCTTTTTGATTTGAAGAGTTTTTGGTGGAAAATCTACTTCAATTTTTTAACTGTCAAATGCTTTTATGAAAATGGAACGTCTTGTTATCCAGAGTTTCTGAAGCTCGATCGAACTCCTGAAGCAGGTTGTTAGAATGCGTTAAGAGAAACAATAAACAACTAGTAAAATTTTACTTTTTAGATCGTCCTTCTCGAGTTATGAGGAATCAAAGCTGAAATTTCTGAAACCTGTCTAATTTTTACTGCTTTATTGATAACTCGTGAAATAGGATAGGTGAACCGAACTTTATACACGTATTTTAATACTCATGAAATTTCCTAACATTTCTCTAATCAAATGTGGTGTGAAAGATTTTTTTAGTTTCAAAGATATTTTCAAAGTTCGAAGCCAAAATTTAAAAAAAAAAATTTCCAATAAATTTTTGTTACCCTATCTAAATTTCCTGAACACAATATGTCCTGCAATTTTTTTTAAGTAAATTATTCTAAAAAATAATAAAACACGTTTTTGATTATTAAGAATTCAAATGTAATCGATAAAGTCAGATGCAAATTCAAACTGCAGAACTTTTAAGCCTTAAGGTACAAATTATAAGTAAGTCTTTCAAAGTTCTTCAATTTGCATCCGACATTTTCGATTACACCTTTCATATCTATGATAAAACGCAAAAAGATAAAGCTTACAAGCAATTGCATATAACGTACATTTTATATTTAATTACTAATCTTGTTTTCCATATGCTGAATTCTCAGGCTCCATAAAAGAAAGGCAACAATTATTCACCTTAAATAATTAACATGCATGTTACTTTGTTTATAGCAGAGTACTTGTTTAATTATATGTATGCATAATATTTAGTATAAAGAAATCAAAAGTTGTCAAAATAGAATTGTTAAAAAAACTAATGAAAATTACTGTTTTAACTATTTAGTATTGAGATATTCGGAAAAGTGGAGTCAACATAATCGCAATGGATTTCGATTCAAATATTTCAGTCCGTTTTGTTACAATAATTTTAAAAGCAATTGGAGTTGATCTTTTGTCCGAAAATAAATCCAAATTTAATAAATTTTTTTATTATATGACAATTTTAATATTTAATATTTCAACTCTAATATTTTTAATAATTTCAATTA